CTAGTATTTACTACCGAGTAACCGGGAATTTTCACCAAAAGTGTTGATTCTCGCGTCAAAAGGTAGTAATTGCTATGAGTACGTGGTCACGTGGCGATAGAAGCTGAGTAACCGGGCTCTTTCATCTGGCCAATGTTGGAGTTCGCGTCAAAAGGCTCTAATGGCTAGCGACTAAGTCTTTTGTTACTATTGAAAAGAAGAATAAAAAAAAAAAGAGAGAAAAGTAGAAAAAAAATGTGAAAAAAAAGTGAATGTTGTGTTAGTGTATAATAAAAGTCAGCTTGCCGATTTGTGGATTTAATGTTGAGATTTTGGTTAATAGTTGGACCATTTGCTGATAAATGTTATGCGTCATTCCTTTTTCTTAGATTAGTTAACCTGAAATTAGAGGAGTTTGTGGTTTAGAAGCTAACCAAAGTGATATTTCTTGGATCTTATTCACTGATGCTTGATTATTGTTTTTCTTGGTATCTTGGCAATTTGTGAGATAGAGCAATAGTCACTATCAAATATTGGTACTTGTCTGCTGTTCTCATTGATAGGGTGTAATTTTATCATTTATTTTATTATTAATTTTCCCTATTACTTGACCCGATGTGGATTAATTGCTGGATTCTACTCATTTTTAGTGTTTTGCATATATTCCAGGGAGTAGAACGAAAATATGATAACAAGTGCTAATTTGACAAAAAAGGAGTCTAAGGCACAGAGCTCACCCCAGGGGCATTGTTGGCAAAGGCAAGCTTATGCCCATTTTAGTAATTGCCGAAGACAAAAGCATTAAAAGGAGCAACGAAGGGCTGAAGGCAAGGGTCTTCTTCTTCGTCTCCGGAGGGGGAGCGCCGCACAGGAGGTCCTCTCCGCAAGGGGCCGCCGCACAGGAAGGCCTTAGAGATGATTAGAGAGGAACGAATGGTACAGAGGGAAACCCAATCTTCAGTAGTTAGCTTTTAGTCTTTTGACTTTTCTTCTTCGGTTGTAGTAAAGACTCTTAGTAGTTGTTTTCTTCCTTCGTGAATGTCAGGAGCAAAAGAAAAGTATTGGACTATTCCTTTTTCTTTGCTTTGTGCTCTTTGACTTTTCCGTCGTGGCTCTGAGTAGTATTGCTCCCTGACAATGGCCGCGATTCTTGCTTCACTCTTGCGTGGATTTTGTTCATCGATTTCGCATGGGTTTTCCTCATCAATAATGAGCTAAATCCCTTTTTCTAGTTAAGGAGCAACGGATGCTTTGGATCGCCTAAAAATTGTGAGATCGATTTAATTTTATCTTTCCCTTTATTTATTAGTATTTGCATATTCCCTGATTGCAGTGCTTATGGTTGTTTAATTAATTGATTGTCTTGGATCCGGATAATTAGTTAATTTAATAATCTATTATCAATTGAGGTGTTAAATCCGTAATTGTTTAATTGTCTCAAAATAGTGATAACTGGCATGATTGGGTTTGTGTCAGGGGAATACGCGGGCTAATCTAAAATAACCCTGGTAGTGCGTTATTTGGTTAGAATAGGGCTCCTCTAATACGTAAAGCAATTGGGGAATTAAATTCTACGGGCGTACCTAGGATTATTTCTCAATTAGAGCAGTGATTAACGGGCGTACCTTAATCATCGACACAGTAAGGAGGGGTTGACTGTCTTCGCTTGTTTGGCAGTTATAACCTATTTATTGATAAATAATTGGAATTGCCTCTGCTTATCGATGATCAATTAGGTGAACCATTGCTGAAGTTATTTCTTGGCTAGATCCTTAATTATCACTCATTAGATTTTAGTAAATTGTTATTTAATTTCTAGTTGGCTATTTTATTTTTATTATTTTACTTTTAGTTGATTTGTTTAGATTGTCACTCCTGATATAAAACACCCCCCTTGTCACTGTGAATTTGGAAAGGACAATTACTCCCAGTCCCTGTGGATTCGACCCTGCTTACTGCTATCTACAGAAATTACTTTTAGTTTGAGCAGGTTTTATTATTGCACAGGCTTCGACAACCTGTCACTCATGCTTGAGGACAAGCATGGTTTAGGTGTGGGGGGAATTGATAGGTTGCAATTTTATCATTTATTTTATTATTAATTTCCCCTATTATCTGACCTGATGTGGATTAATTTCTAGATTCTACTCATTTTTGATATTTCACATTTATTTCAGGGAGTAGAACGAAAATATGATAACAAGTGCCAATTTGATAGAAAAAGAGTCCAAGGCACAGAGCTTATCCCGGGGGCATTATTGGCAAAGGAAGACTTTTGCCCATTTTGGTAATTTCAAAAGAAGAGAGCAGGGCAAAGGCCTCTATTTTACTGGAGGCTAGAGCGCCGCACAAGGGGAGCTTCTTCTTCCTCTCCGAAAGGGGGCCGCCGCACAAGGCCAGACAGTAGCAATAGGCCATTAGGATAGGAACTATTAGATTGCAGAGAACAAGCACTTTCTTTTTCTAGCTTCACTTTGACTTTTCTTCCTAGCTTTTCATTGCTTTACTCCACGCATGTTAGGAGAAAGCAATTTCTAGTTTTAGCGTTTGACTTTTCCATTTCGTCTTCTTGTGGTTTCTCTAGTCCGTATGTGAAGACCAAGTGAAAACATTGAATTCCTTCCTGTAGCTTGTCTTTCTCCTTGATTTCTCCGAATTGAATTTGACGATGGCCGCTACTGTTGCGTCAGCTTTGTATGGGGTTTTCCCATCAACAATGAGCTAAATCCATTTTCTCTAGTCAAGGGACAACGGATGCTTTGAGTCGCCTAAAACTGTGAGATCGATTTAATTTTATCTTTTTCTTTTATTTATTGGTATTTGCATATTCTCTGGTTACAGTGCTTATGGTTGTTTAATTAATTGATTGTCTTGGATCCAGATAATTAATTGATTTGATAATCTATTGTCAATTGAGGTATTAAATCCGTAATTGTTTAATTACCTCAAAATAGTGACAACTGGCACGATTAGATTTGTGTCAGGGGAATACGCGGGCTAATCTAAAATAACCCTGGTAGTGCGTTATTTGGTTAGAATAGGGCTCCTCTAATACGTAAGGCAATTGGAAAATTAAATTCTACGAGCGTACCTAGGATTATTTCTCAATTAGAGCAGTGATTAACGGGCGTACCTTAATCATCGACACAGTAAGGAGGGGTTGACTGTCATCGCTTGTTTGGCAGTTATAACCTATTTATTAGTAAATAATTGGGATTGTCTTTGCTTATCGATGATCAATTAGGTGAACCATTGCTGAAGTTATTCCTTGGCTAGATCCTTAATTATCATTCATTTGATTTTAGTAATTTGTTAATTAATTTTTAGTAGTTTCTTAGATTTTATTTGAACTTCTTTTATTGTCACCTTCTGCATAAAAACACCCCATTGTCACTGTGAATTTGAAAAGAAACAATTACTCCCAGTCCCTGTGGATTCGACCCTACTCACCACTATCTACAGAAATTACTTTTAGTTTGAGCAGGTATTTATTATTGCACAGGCTTCGACAACCTGTCATGGATATTAGGCCATTATTGCATTAAGCTTTGTTTATGCTACTTTTAATTCTTAATCTCCAATAAGATGTTGAAACAATCAATCTTTGGACAAGTTGCCTAGCCAATTTGGATGAGTTGCAACTCATTGAAATGGAGTTGAGGTAGGTTGCAGATGGTTGTGACAAAGGTTAATTGAAATTTGTCAAATTTAATGCGTTTTTAGTTGATCTCATTGTGTTATTTGTTTTTCATTTTTTTACATATATATTTTTCTCGATAGGCTCATCTTGATAGGGCGTTGTTTGTTGACTTTGTTAAGTTTATTCACAGAAATTATTGCTACGTGATTTATTTTAGCCTCGTGACCTGCGTTATAAATTCCAATTTCTTCTACGCTTGCAATCGAAACCATTCTAGAGTGATAAAAAAATTTTTTAAAAAAAATGCTAATGAAACCATATATTCAACTTCATAAACTCTCTTTTCCTCACATGTGTAATTTATCTTCGAAGGCAGATATGAACATGGCCTGCCAATTCACTCCTATCCCAATCAAGAAAACAGCAGCCTTTTTTTTTTTTAGTCTATTGTCTTAAGTGGATTTTATCCATTCAGATTTCTTCATAAAAGCAAATTAGCTTCCTGATAATGAAATGAAAAGGGTTATCTGCACACACCAATATCAAGACATATGCAAGTAATGTTGGAAACAAAACCAAAAGTGACAAAATATAATTAAAGATCTTTTTTTACACCAAAGAAATGTGTATATTTTTAATTCTGTGGCGTGATTCCTTTTTAAAATGTTTGAAGCCCAATGTTCCTATAATAGAGGAAGCCTAGGAAAGCATTTGACAGTATTGCCAAGCAGTGGTAGGTTTTGTAGGCCAAAATGGTGCAATGTAAGTCGAAATGACAGACTATTTGCACCACAACAAATTTAGCAGCCCATTCTGGCGTTCAAAATAATATGATCGGCCAAAGTTTAAATTCTTCAAATATCCAAATCCAAATTTTTTACAACTTTATATTTTTTTCTTGCGAGGATTTTGGTTAGTCTAACACTTGTATAAACTTTCCTTTCTCCATTCATACAATTAGGACGAAATCTATCCAAAATTACGTGTGTCAGGAAAAGACTGTTGAATTGTGGTGGACTCTAGTATCAAATTAATGGATTAAATCTTCTAATAATTGAGGCAAATAAATAGTTTTATTCCATTGAAGGTGTATATAATGACAATACTCATAAAATTAACTTATACTAGACGCCTAATAATTGAGTCTAGATCTTGAGAATATATGTTCTAATTTTATTAGAGTTTCACTCTTGACATATCTGCTCAAAGATTCACTTAATAATTGAGTTCATTTATTGCCTTTGGATCCTTGTTTCTGAGTTGATTTCATAGTTTATTCATTTTTCTAACCGGTTGTTGTCATATTATTAGAAGAAACTATTGCAACGTTATTCCTGTGAATCCCATACCCGGCCTATAAAATGCGAGTTCTACTTGTAATTCCCAACCAAAAAGCGAAAAAAAATCCTAGAATTTCAAACAAAAAAATGGATTTGGCTAGAAATATTGGTGATCATACTGGTGAGCTTTTTCAAGCACAAGCTCACATATGGAACCATATATTCAACTTCATAAATTCTATGTCCGTCAAATGTGCAATTCAATTAGGCATTCCAGACGTTATTCACAAACATGGCCAGCCGATGACCCTTGATCAATTGATTGATGCTCTTCCCATCAAGAATGCAAAAGCCCCTTTCGTTTATCGTCTCATGCAGATTTTGATCCACTCAGGCTTCTTCATTGAAGCAAAGATTCCTGGAAATGAGAATGATAATCAAAAGGGTTATCTGCTTACTTCTGCTTCTGAACTCCTTTTAAAGAGTAACCCTTTTAGCATGACGCCGTTTTTACTAGCCATTCTCGATCCCACCTTGACTGATCCATGGCACCATCTCAGCCAGTGGTTTCAGAATAGTGATGAAACCCCGTTTTATACTTGCCATGGCAGCTCACTTTATGATCTTGCAAGCCATGAGCCGCGGCTTAATCAATTCTTTAACGAAGCAGTGGCTAGTGATACCCGGCTGGTTAGTAGCGTGGTGACCAAAGATTGTAAGCATGTTTTTGAGGGTTTGAATTCATTGGTAGATGTTGGAGGTGGAACTGGAACCTTTGCTAAGGCAATTGCTGATGCTTTCCCTCGCCTGAAATGCACTGTGTTTGATCTTCCTCATGTTGTTGATGGCTTGGAGAGTAGTAAGAACTTGGCCTATGTTGGAGGTAACAAGTTTGAAGCCATTCCTCCTGCAGATGCTGTTTTAATGAAGGTATGAAATCGATGTTGCACGTTTTCTAGTTGACAAATTTTTTTTATAGTAGTGTTATTTAGATTTTTATCCTTATTGCCTGAGATCATAAGATTAAAATTCACCAATTATAAGAAGTGTCAATTTCAAAAGTAAGATTGAGTAGTAGAAATTGAGGTTATGCTTAATCTAAGAACTGCATCATGAAGAGGGGAAAAAAAAGAACAAAGTTTTAAACGTCAAATTGATTGCGTGTGTTTGGTACTATAAGAGAATAGTTTTGTTTTTGCTTTTTGACGCAAAAAGCTTTAAATGGGTTGTAATGTTTCTAACAAAAAAATTGATTGGTTTTGCAATCAAGCAGTGGATATTGATTGATTGGAGCGATGATGAGTGTGTACAAATACTAAAAAAATGTAAAGAAGCAATTCCTAGCAAGGAAAAAGGAGGCAAAGTGATAATTGTTGAAATGTTCTGCAAAAGTCTGCAGAAAGGGGAAGATGATCATGAGGCGATTGAGACCCAACTGTTCTTTGATATGGCAGTGATGGTTCTACTCAAAGGAAGGCAAAGAAATGAGAAAGATTGGGCGAAACTTTTCACGGAGGCAGGCTTCAGTGACTATAAGATAACGGCAGTATTGGGATTGAGATCTATCATTGAGGTTTATTAATTAATATGCTTTTTGAAAATGTTGTTTGTGCTAAAAAGTGATGAACCTTTAGTTAGGGTGTTCAGAATAAATTTTATGGCTTTGGAGTGTTTGTTTTACTCATTTATTGGCAATAGACAAATTGCCAAAGTCCAGTCTTGAAGCTGTACGTGGGCGGCTGATCAACTTGGTTCGTGCTTGTATCTTGAACCAGATTTACTCGCGAAGTTCACCGGATTTTCTAGCAATTGGGCATTGAATGAGAAGAGAAAAATTACAGCCGCTTGTAGGATCCTTACTAGTATAAATAAATGCCATTTCCTCAGTTGAAGGGCACCAAAGCTCAAGTGAAAGATAGGAAATGAACGAGTTCAATTGTTGAGTGAGTGTTTGAGCAGATATCTCAAGAGTGAGGCACTGATATATTAGAGCAACTATTCTCAAGAGTGAGGCTCAATTATTAGTGTCCAATATAAATTTATTTTGTGTGTTGTTATTAAATATATTTTGAGTGTAATAAAATTGTTCGTTTGCCTCCTTTATATAAAGGATTTAATCCATTGATTTGGTAATAAACCCCACCACAATCCAACACTGCAATGTGTCCAAATCCCAGCCTGGAATACACAGCAAGCACATTATGTATAAATGGTGTGGAGTTGAGGTAGCTAACGACAATAACTGTTTCCAACATTGTTGAAGTTGAAGTAGAGGCATCGCTTCCACTTTAAATTCAGCCATTACAGCTGAATGTAAGTTGAAAGAAGAACGGATAAACAAAATGTAAGTTTAAAAGATTTTCAGTTCTTAACTTGCCTAAGTTGTACAACACTTTCTAAACAAAATGTAACTCAATGTAAATTACTTATTCAATTTTGAAACAATGACATTGTATCTAATTAATATTCGTGTAGATCCATATATGTTTGTAATTTCAAAGTTATGTGACTTGCTTTTGGCTGCACATTATCAAAATTTGCCTTGTTGAGAAAATCTTTCCCATACATCATTTGGGACGGTGGCACCTGACAACCGTCCCAGCCCATTCTCCACAAATACACCTTTCTGGATCTTGCAAATATATTAGTCAACAAAAAGAGTACGCAGAAGAACTAAATTGAATTGTTATAGCCACTCATGGCTCCAGTTACTAATCATCATGCCTATCCATTCGTGTGGGTCTTATATGCTCTTTAACCATAAGATTGGATGCCTACCTGTTATACCCAAAAAGGAAAACAAAATCAACAGCGAAAAAGTTGGATTTGGGCATTAGCGAAAAAGTTTAGTTATATGACTTATATCTAAAAAGTTTTGACAAACATATGAAAAAATCCATGTCGCAAGCGAGACAAGCAATAGGCAATCTGATGGAGCAAATTGAGAACATGACAATGGCACACCATTGATGAAAATAAACCGTTCGTCTACCATGGAGCCGCGCTTGGTCAATGGTAAATGAACAGATAGCATAAATCAGGCAGCCTAACATAGTAAAAGGAGGGTTGATATTCGCCTGGTCTTATATGCACATTTAATATCATCCCAGCAAATTCTGCTGGAAATGACACGCACCACCTCCCCCCTTTGCTGTCAATGCATCATAGTACAATCGCCATCAGTCAATGTCAAACTAGATCCTGCACTACTAGAAGAGGGAAAAAATCGCAAATGTGTAAATCATGATGCTGGAAGACAAGAAATGGTCATTTGTTTCTTCAGCCCAAAAGAATTGACATTTTGACATCTGCACAATTCCAGAAGACATAGTTCGTGATACCTATGAAAACAACATGTTACACTTTTCAGATGCGAGTCTTTTAGCCGATGAAACTTGTTTTCTCAGACAGAAGAATCTAAGTTGGCCAAGTAGTCAGGGACTTCCCCCGCTATTTGGTTGAGGGTTCAAATATTGGACTCAACAATTGGGAGTGGGAAGGGTGGGAGGTTAAAAAAAATGGTTTGGCCTGGAAAAATAACATTATCTTACTTTTTACCACTAGCATTGCAGTTGCCTTGACGTGTATTATGGTCTGCAGTCTGCACTCACTAAAGAAAGGGTCGAAACCGAAAAACCGAAAAAACAAAATAATGATAATCATAATAAGATTATAAGAATTAGAAACTTCATTTTGTTTATTCTTTGTTTTATAAGAGAACCTCCTCAGTTGAATTCTATTTTACCTCCGTCCTTAGCTAACATGGAGCTGAGAAAAGCGATGAAATCAGCTCAAATGATGTGAATATTCGTTCGGAAAAATGGAATAACTGATTGTTGATTCGCTAAAAGAGGAAAAGTGTAAGTTTTAAGTTCTACAAAAGATGTCAGTATCAGTATCAAATGAGGAAGATGAACTGAGGTGACTGTGTTTCACAAGACGGATACTACTGTACTACTTACACCTGTTATGCCTTTCACAAGTTATTTGGTTGGAGAGATGAGATTCAGTCAGCAATTCCTTCTCCCCATGAAATATTGGTAATCCAGCTTTTCATGTTTTTGTCATAAAAGTATTTTCGTATTTCAAACAGAGAAAGAAAAGCACAGGCAACATATTGGAACACACATCCTAATGTGTGTGAATGACATATGAAAAAACTTCACATAATGCTCACGTGATACCAAAGCCACAGGAAACATAAGATAAATCAGCACATCTTATAAAAAGCACTAGTGTGAATTGTGGCTCGGAAATTGAAACTCAAAAGAAAAAAAGGGATAAGGGAAGTCTTTTGCAACGCACAAATCTCACCTAAGTCAAGGAGTACATCCAAGTTGGAGGACTCTTTCATTTTACAGCTAGAATGAAAATGGTCACTCTTAGTTGCTATTTTCCGACAATCAGTTTTGCTCTTGCATGTCCCGCCTCAATTCGGAATTGCTCTCCCAATCCAAAATGAGCCATCAGTATCCAGACAAAAGTAATGAGCTCACCACCTTTACTGAGCTGCTGAGCATGAGCATTTGCTCGGCAGTGACTGGCAGCATAGGACAACAGTTCCACCCACACTTTACTCATTATCTCCCACCTTTTCTTATCATTCAACTTTTTCAAATCCTTTGCAAGCCTACAGGCATCGAACAATATTGATTTGCTTCTATCTCCCTTCACCTCAATGGCTTTAACAAGAGCATTTACATTAAGTAGCTTTTCGCATGCATTTCTTTTTCGATTTGCTGAACTTGATTCTCTTCCAGTTAATCCATTCTGGGCTATGCAGCAGGTGATTAATTTTCTGCAAATTCCCAAGTCTGGGGTTCTTATAATTAGTTCTGATTTCCACCTGCTGAAGAACATCTTAGCTTCTTCACATGTGTCCCGAAATTGAATTTGTCCAATGCCAGAAACTGCAGACATCAAATTAGGCCTCATAACCAAAAGATACAACATATAATCAGATATAAGCTTACAATAATTGCGATTGGAATTGCCATCATCAGGACTCGTGCAATAGCATAGCTCAGTGGCAATATGCCACAGCAACAGGCTCTCATCGTATTCAACTTCGTCACCTACACTTGATGAAATGATGGGATATGGGTAGTGATTGGTGTAATCCAACAGTACCAAATCACCTCTTGCTGAGTATATCTCTTTAGCAACATTTGTGGTTTTTGCTTTGGTAGCTTTAACCTTGAGCTCAATAAAGATGAAATCCTTTAAGTCCTCTGGAATGACAATGTCCTCCTTGTAGTACATTTCATCAAGAACATCCTTGATTCCAACGGTTTCAGCTGCAATATCTAACCATCTCCAACGCTGATTCACACAAAAGTTTATCAAGTTACATTGCCAAAGGGTATTAGACCACCTTTTGGAACATGACAGCTTTTCACGGACTGCATATACAGTTGTTTTGACTGTGAGATTCTTAAGCTTGACTATGGTCCAGTCTGAGAAAATGAGCTTAGTAAAGGCTACAAAATTCAAGAGAACAGCACCCGAAAGCAAAATGTAGGTAGTAGCAACATCAAAATGGTTAATATCGGGTTTATGATGTGATGCAAATCTCTCAAAAGAAAGCACTATAAGTATAGAGCAGATCAATCGAAGACAATAACCTTTTTTACTGTGTACCACAGCCATCTTAGTGTAGAGAGTATCATATATGAAATTGAGCTCCACCTCCATTACTCTGAAAGCATCAAATGCAGACCTTTGGAAGAAAAATTTTCTGTTCTTACTGCGCTCATGAAAGCTAAACATATGGTCAACAATCAGGCCCCTAAAAGTGGTAAACAATTCATACCCATTTTGCACAATATCTATATCACTGATGTCTTCAGGACTCAAATTCTCTTCTTCTGGATTTGCAGAAGTCTGAGTGCCTCTGTCATGTTCCTTCACTATCTCTATCTCAACTGGAACTTGAGCAGCTTCCTTAGATGAGTACTCCACCATAAGCTGCATAGTTTGGTCCAGCATCTGGCAGTGGAAGCATAGAATCCTTAATATTACCCAAACAAGCTAAATATAAAGCCCGTGTTCGCTCAGCATATTTAATAGTTCCAGAAAAAATCAAGAGTATTGTGGGGACATAGAATACGTTACGCAGGGATTGTGAAAAAACATAAGCAACAGCAGAAAACTGAGTGATAAGCCCAAGCAGATGCCTAATCCACAGCTCATTGTCTTTAAGCGAGATGGCGGTAATATTATCAGGGCCACCAAGATGTGGCAATAGAAATGGAGCCCAAAATGCTGCAAGGTCTTGATTTACTGCAAATCTCTCAGGACAATTATTACTTTGACCGTTGGAGATGAGTCCAACAGCAAAAGCTGCAAACCAATCAGCAAGCAGATAAAATAACCAGATGGTAGCAGTCACTGTCATGTTTCCTGTTCTTTTACGTGATGCCGCACAGCATATTAACACCACTTGGAAAAAAAGACTGATGAGAACAGCAGCACGAAGATTCCACTCATCCCATAGCCTCTTTACTCTGTCTGGAATGGGGAAGGCCATGCAACTTTTTTGTTCTTTCCTCTCCTTTCCTCTCTTTATTCACAATAGCAATCCAGCTGTAAAGAAGAGAAACTGGACAGGAAGCAAGGACAAATTCCAGCATCAAAGACATAGACGATGGCACAAGATGGATTAGGCTTTCGTCATATACAAAATTTCTCAAGAACAACAGGTGAAAAAAGGTGAAAATCTGTATAAGAACCCCACCCCATTTGAGACTTCTAACAGAAACATGGATGCATTGTCTTTAAAATGAGGGTATCAAATGGAGCGCCAGGCACACAACATAAATGATTGACCTAAAGACCTTATTACACCGTAAATTGTGTCAATACAAACCAAAAGTTTTCCTACACATCCACAATGAGATTTCTAGCAGTATTTTTCTTCAAGCCTTTCTGGACTTTAGTTGTCTGTTATCATCCAAAACCTTCAATCATGTAGAAGCATCTGTAAATACTTCAAAACGGACTAACTCCATTATGAAGGTCTGGGGTAAACGGAAGTGGTTAACATCCAAATTCAGGATCCTCTAAAGGATTGTCGAGTTTTAGAGGCTTCTATAAGCTAGTGTCAGCTCAAAATAGGTCTATCAAAATGTGCATGGCAACCTTGCATTCGTGGTTTGCACGATTTTACCATTTTATAGCGCAAAAATCAAATTCATCATCTGATTCAACTCTCAGGCATTTGAGCATCCATTTTCAAATATATATATATATATATATATATATATATATATATATATATCATCTGACAATTCAGCAACACCAAGGTTTAAAGGTATATGTGTAATTTTTTCTGCTGTCTAGTTGGTATCCTCAAGAAAGAAAGGGGGAGGAGGGGGGGGGGAACTTGCATATGAAAGTACAAAAATTGCACTTTATACTTCTGAACAAGCAGTGAGTCAATGTCAAATGCTAGCAACAATCAGAAGAATTAGGAAACATGACTGACATAGGATTGAACATCATTACCTGATTGACTTTTACTCTCTTTGGTTCTTCTTCTGCAGTTCTACTTCTTGTGTGCCTACAGTTTGTCATTTAGGTTATAAGAAAAAGTATAGTGGTCTGTAAGAGTAATCCGATTGAATTTTGCGGTAAGAGTGGTTTGTCCTTTTGAATTTTGTACCTCAAATCATATCATATTTTCACTACACTAAAGTATGAGTTGCCTAACGTAATTTCGAGCAACTTCAGTTGCATTTTCATGAAAGCAGTTATGCTGTAAATTTCAACAAATCCAGTGGCGTTTCATTAGTTGTCGTCTGGGTTTGACCTCCTGCTTCAAATCAAACCCTAGTAGCCTTTCCCTTATCACTGTATCGCCGCTGCCGTTTCCTTCTCTCTCCTATATCTACGGCCATAGGCCTGAGAAAAAAAAAGCCTTTTTCACTCACCACCATCCGAAGTGCCAAACAAATGTATAGGATTGGAAGAGGAGTCAAACTATTCAATATTCGAATCGAGTTTTATTTGATAAAAGTTCATTCAATTTTGATTCATCAATTAATTAATTTAAAATTGAATAATATTTTATATTCGTTGAAAAAAATTATTTAATTTCGATTTGACAAATAAATTATTTAAATTTTAATAAAATTTCAAACTCGTTAAAATAACTAAACAAGTTTAAATACTATGACATTTGATTTTATTAGACTCATTTACACCCTCTACAAATGTCTTTCCTCTTTCTTCACTTCTCCTCCCTTCCTCTTCGCGGCTTTGGTGTTTATCCAAGGACTAGGCCCTCTCCATCTCCCTCTCTTTGCACAAAATTTTCATTCCTCCTACATCCCCCCACCTTTCCCTTCTATATATTTTGGATCCTGGACTTCCTCCGGAAAGACAAGACTACTTTTTATGTTTGTGCCATATCGATTAGAGTTAAGCACACCATGTGATTGCTATTGACATGAATTGCTAGTTGTGCTGTTCTCGATTTTCCTTCCATATCGAGGTCCGATTTTTCGTTCATTCGTACCAGACATTGGGAACAATAATAGTGAGTAGCAAATCTTCCTTCTTGGTTGCGATCATACCAGCACTGATGCAGCGGATGCCATCAGAACTCCGAAATTAAGGAACCATCAGCCTTTGGGCTTGTGGCCACCATCCCACCAATCACCACAATTAAATGTGGATTTGTTTCAAAAAACCCAGACGAGTACGTAGTGCACCCATTTGGTCCGGTGGTAGTTCAGTCCTTTCCGGATTATCCCTGGACCTCGTTAGATCCACCCCCTCCCCCTAGTGTAGAATAGATTAGGATATACTACAATTGTCGTCTCCGGAAAAAAAAAAGTAGCAGATCAAAATAAAACCCTATTTGATAACTCACTTCAGCACTTAAACTTGCTTAATATATTCAGATCTTTAACATTTCTAGACATGTTTGATAACAAGAAATTGAGCATTTTAATTAATTAAATGGTTCCAAATTATGTTGGATTTCATTTAATGCAAAATAAGCTCAAATATTATGATTTCAGTATTTATAATTTAATAATTTAACGGATTCAGATGTCGGTTTTCAAACGTCAGATTTGAAATTTCAATTTTGTCAAACGTATCTTAAATGAATGAACCTGAAAATATTAAATAAAAAAAAAAGCAGGTTTGGCTAAATAGTTTACACCTTATGTCCACCTCGAAAGACATGTACAGCTAAATGCTTATTACTAGTACATGTTGTGATTGAGTAGCTTAAGCGGCAATCCCCTTGCCTTTAATTACATTTAAACTAGCAAAATATGACCGTGCTTGCGCACGGTGGAAAAATATTTTTGAATATGCCCATTAAAAGTTAATAATGATAAAAAATTGTGCTTAATTAGTTGTTAATTTCTTAAGGAGAATACTTTTTAATAGTATAATTCAGTAGTTGAAAATAAATTGCATACATGTTTTAGGCGTTCGGAAAGAATGAAGCGGTACTATAATGAAGCATCTTAGCAAAAGATGGATGCAACCTGGAAGCCAACAAATGGGTAAATGGTGGTATAGGCAAACGATTAACAAGAATGAAACTTGTCTAAAGCAAATAATTCTAAACTTTATTTTATCTATCTTGATAAGAAAAGCATCATTTATCCTTAACTTAAATAGTAGCTAACATGACAACTAATTTTACACTGGCAAGCTGATCAGTCTATCCTACTTGCAAGTTGGCCACAATCTTTGGAAATTGAGCAAAACTCATGCTTGCTCCGTTACAATTGCTTTTTACCCTCGCTCAACTCTGAGAAAGTTAAAAAAAAAAAAAAAAAACAAGAAGCTAATCTAATCTAAATACATGTGAATCAAATGTAGCAAGAGTGACAAATCATTCCCATCTGAATTAACTTGCCCTGTAACGTTCAATGGATCATTCTAAATAACACAATTGAGCCATTGGTACTGTTGCCGTAGTTGCCTCCATTTTCACCGGCTCTAGGCAGGATTTACCTTCAAACCTTTTCGCCATAACCACTATAAGCTTGCCAAAACAATCACATCAATCCCACGTGCCACCAAGTTAATAAGTACAGCAATACCCAAATCCGGACTGTATTAATTTGCTGAGACCACTGCTGACACATTCCACCAGTTCCACTCGCTTTCGTTAATTCTCCAAGTAAACTAATTCCAAAAGGAAACCGTTGCAAAGGATCCTTAGAGATGATGATCATGGCAGTGGGTCATAACAATTGTCTGGGGTTTTTAGAGAGGGAAAAATGGAGAGGTGTTGACAGGTTGTCGAAGCCTGTGCAATCATAAATACTTGCTCAAACTAAAAATAATTTCTGTAGATAGTGGTGAGCAGGGTCGAATCCACAGGGACTGGGAGTAATTGTTTCTTTTCAAGTTCACAGTGACAAAGAGGGTGTTTTATATCAGGAGTGACAATTTAACCAATCCAACTAAAAATAAAATGATAAAAATAAAATAGCCAACTAGAAATTAAATAACAATTTACTAAAATCTAATAAGTGGTAATTAAGGATCTAGCCAAGAAATAATTTCAACAATGGTTCACCTAATTGATCATCGATAAGCAAAGGCAATTCCAATTATTCATCAATAAATAGGTTATAACTACCAAACAAGCGATGGCAGTCAACCCCTCCTTACTGTGTCGGTGATTAAGGTACGCCCGTTAATCACTGCTCTAATTGAGAAATAATCCTAGGTACGCCCGTAAGATTTAATTCCCCAATTGCCTTATGTATTAGAGGAGCCCTATTCTAACCAAATAACGCACTACCAGGGTTATTTTAGATTAGCCCGCGTATTCCCCTGACACAAACCCAATCATGCCAGTTATCACTATTTTGAGACAATTAAACAATTACGGATTTAACGTCCCAATTGATAATAGATTATCAAATTAACTAATTATCCGGATCCAAGACAACCAATTAATTAAACAATCATAAGCACTGTAATCAGAAAATATGCGAATACCAATAAATAAAAGAAAAAGATAAAATTAAATCGATCTCACAATTTTAGGCGACCCAAAGCATCCGTTGTCCCTTGACTAGGGTGAGGAAATTAGTTCATAGTTGATGAACAAAATCCACAAGAAATTGAAGCAAAAGCTGCGGCCATCAATTCGGAAGTTGGGCGAATTCAATTCGTCTATTCAATAAAGAAAGAAAGCTACAAAAGGTACTTCATAGTTTTCCTTCGGTCTGGACATCCGCAGGAAGCAAACCACTAAAAGACGAAAAAGGAAAAGTCACAAGCTAAAACTAAGAATTGCTTCCTCCTGACATGCGTGGAGAAAAGCAATGAAAAGCTAGGAAGAAAAGTCAAAGTGAAGCTAGAAAAAGATAGTGCTTGTTCTCTGCAATCTAATAGTTCCTATCCTAATGGCCTATTGCTACTGTCTGGCCTTGTGCGGCGGCCCCCTTCCAGAGAGGAAGCAGCTCCCTCTTTTCCTGCGCAAGTTTTCTATATAAAGTAGTGCCCTTGCGGCGGCTCCTGTGCGGGAAAATGAAGACTTCGGCCCAATTTGCCCAACAAGGGCTCATGTTTTGTTGTTCCAAAAATGCCCCTAGGACAAACTCTATCATCTGAACTCTTTTCTTGCCAAATTAGCACCTGTTATTATATTTTCGTTCTACTCCCTGAAATAAATGCAAAATATCAAAAGTGAGTAGAATCTAGCAATTAATCCACATTAGGTCAGGTAATAGGGAAAATTAATAATAAAATAAATGATAAAATTGCAACCTATCAGACGTGAAGGAGGTGAATAAAACGAGGCTTTTGCCTCGGGCCCCTTAAAGCTAAAGCATCGTTCCTTTTTTATGCTTTTCATATAGACATACTTGATTTCTTTTGGGTTCCAAGACACAAAAAAGAGCTTTTTTATATATTTTTTTCCCTTTGAGTTCCAAGACACAAAAGAATTTTACCTAAAAAAACCAAATTCTTACAAAATATGCATGTGCACTGCACATGGGAGGACGACCATGTTTTGGCAATCTCCATTCCCACTTTATATACATTCTTTAAATAAACTAGGAGGGGTTCACCGCGCGATGCGCGGTGTTGGTTCCATGCTGCCCAGAAAATGCCCAATTTTCAAGTGAAGATATCACAAACCGCATGAGGTATATTTAAGTTCTTTGGCTATGAAATGATTAAATTTTTAAATAAGCCAGGTTGCAGGAAAATGCGAGTAAATAAAGGTTTGCATTCAACACGGCATCAAGGAAAAGATTGAAAAGAAAACATTTTTGGTGAATAAAATTGAAGCTGATAATAGATGTTAGGCATTCATAATATATTTGCTACATGTTTAATTTCATTGCAATGCAGTTATATTTAGGAGGAATGAAGAATGCGGTTCAACGAAATAAAAAACTGAAACATATGCGATGGAGAGGTTGAAGGTAACAGGGAACTTCGGTTACAGAGAAAACATAGTGCAGAAGTTAGGTACAAGTAGGACAATTAGAATAAATTTTGAAGGTGCAAGACCATGGAAAGACTCTCTCGACTCCATTATCGTCAAAGACTACAAGCGTGAAGGTAGTTGATGATTCTGGAATGAAGACAAGGACTTCATTGTGCTGTAACTGATGTTGAAGAACGAAGCTTCTCCAATTTGTTTTTAGCTTTTTCCCTTTTACACCTATTGATGTAATTATCTCTCCAGTCCTAATAAGAAGTGTTGGAGTTCTTTGTTCATTAATAAAGCGATCGACGAATCTTGGAATTTTCTGATACAAAAGGAATGAAAGTCAGATGCGAGAACATAATATATATTTTTTGTTCAAAGTAATGCAGTAAGAGATGGAAAAAGAAACAGTGTATGGATAGATTACCAATGTGTTTGGGGTTGCTGTATTGAAGGTTTGATAGAAGCAAACTGAATCAACGAGATTCTGGTTTAAATCTGGGTTTATTGATGAAGCAACTAACTGCTGAATTTTTATAGAAGCGGCACTATCTGAAGTTATTTAGCAGATAATGAATTAGAGAAGATTTTACTACAACTAACTGCATGATATAAAGGTTAGTATAAACTGACCTTGTGCATGAGCACCAACAGGCTGCAATAAATTTGGTAATGGGACTGTCCAAGATAGGTAAACCTATTTTTGTAGCTCGGAAAAGTGTATGACATCAAAGATGAGATTGCCAGCATGTCGTAGAAGCAACATATCATGTTTGTTTGCAATATTTTCTTGGTAATATTCATCCCAGCCTTCTTGAAATGAACGATCACCGACTACAACAGGCCATTTATAAGTTCCGTGCTTGAGAATAATTGTATTATGCTGGTGCTGGGTAAGTAATACCTTGAATTGAGCAGGTAGAATCTGCATTTTAGGAGATAAAAATAGGAAATGTCAAATGAACATATATATCTACACTGCACATTGCTAACAAGTAATTTCTATTGCATAGAAGAAAATTAGACCTCTCCTCTATGATTGCATTTCAGTAGAAAACAACAGGCCATTGAGCTACTATTTGTTAGTCCATAGGTAGATGGACCTTCTGCCATTGATGTGACCGGGGAAGCTAATTTTAAAAAAGTGGGAAAGATGCAGTCATATGAAGGCAAAGGGAACAAGTGAACCTTAGGGATAATCTGAGGGAAGCAAGTAGAAAGGTTAACTTGAAGTGTTTTGCTTCGGATGTATGAGCCATTCAAGAGGCAGCTATATATAAACAATGAATGGGTAAAAGAGTTTTTTAGTAAATTTGTTTATGGTCAGGCTTGCTTTAGTTCTTCTCAGAGCTGAGTGCTTTAATGCTTCGTCACATCAAAGAAGTAGAACAGGTTAATATTAAAAGAAGTGACTGGTAAGGTTACAGCTAAGAAGTGAATGCAGAGCAGGGTAATATCTATTGTATAACACAGTTATGGTGACGAAAAAAGTAGAGTTTCTGTAAAAGAACCGAAGTCTGCACAACTACACAATCTAAGGCTAATAGATATACTAAGTCTGAGATGCTGAGCAGAGTGAGTGGAGCTAACAATAGTAGGTGCGATATTTAATAGGAGATTTATGTGAAGGAGAAAATTTGAATAGCTTTGATAAAAGCATTCAGTAAAAGCTGGCGAATAACAGATAGTACATTCACCACAAGGTCAGTTAATAAGCTAAATAGAGCAGAAGGTGAATTCAAAGGACCCTGTGACCAGTACATAACAGCTGTAAAACATCTATTCAAAATACATAGCTGGTGCTGATTGCAGATTATCAGCTAACGTAAAAGGTTTAACATCAAAAGCAGTTTAAGGGGCATTCATGAACAAAAGACAGGTTTAACTAATACATCAATGACTCTTTGAGGAACACAAAAGCAACTTTGCAAAAATATAGGATAGCATGGGAGGCATAGAAAGCAGAGATTTGGTCGACAAAAGGGGCAAAAGAAACAGTCAATTGAGTCTTTGTTTTTTGCTAGAGCTGCATTCTGCATTTTCATCTTCCTCAGCTTCAGTGCTCTGTGGTTCATCAAACCTTTTAGAAAGGCGAACACAAACTTTTGAACGAGCGCTACTCTCTCCTGCGACCATATTTGTTTGATATGTCACATGATTCAGTTGAAGTAAAATATAAATGCTGGAAGCTAAACTGTGTAGTGCTTGTGAGTTACCTGGAGCCCCGAGCTGTATAGTGTCAGATTCTGTGCTAGGAAAAGGAGGGGCATCCTCTGCTTCACTTGTTAACTGCGCAGAATCGGCACCAGCATTGACTTCAGAGTAGTATATAATTGTGTAGCGCTGCCTTGCGTCTGCCAGTTGCGCTTGCACAGGTTTGATGTGAAGCAGAAACGTCTTTGAACTGAGCTCCTTGTGGACAAACTCTAGGGGAAGTGCAACATTCTGTTAAGGGAATGAAAAGTGAGAATAAAAAGTATAGAATACCCTGATCATCAAGATTTAGGGAGCAAGAACCTCATTAAAATGTTGCATTGCTTCCAGTGCATTAAACGTCAGTAAGTTCTCTGCTAATTCGCCAAATATTGAAGCTGGTATCACGCCGGTGCTATCGATCAAATCAACATCAAAGCGGCATCTAAAAATAGGGACACAATATGCAGGAATTCATATTTTTTTATCTGAAACAGCATTAGATAGCAGCAAATACAAACCAATATATTGCAAGTGTATTTTTTTAGCACCTAGGTACTGCAGGATGTTTTTCTTTGCACGAGTTACAGGTAAACTCAACTTGATAGGCTGCTGCTGTGGCTCGGCAACAGTTCTTACAGCTCATGTACCAATATTTCTGGAAGATATGCTCAAAAGAGAACTGTGCCTTCACCCATATAGTCTTAAAGACGAGCAAGCATGAGTACAAAAAGACGAGTGCACATGAAAAGAGAATGAAAACAGGTAACATGTTCGAGTCCCAAACCTTTTGTGACGAAGTTATGTTACAAATCCAGGTAGTTTTCTGATCTGCTTTTAATGACAGCTGTGGATTATATTTAATATAGTCCTTTTTTTCGGCAGCTTCTTTAAGCAACTTAGTGTTCCTCAATGCCCTGGGTGAAAGGAGACATAAAAAGTATTAAGACTGAAAGTGTGGACAGAATTTGGAGCTAAACTGTATAGAGGTCGGTGATTCAAAATATATCGCACCAGTTCTTGAGTTCTCTTGCCTCTTGTACAGGTGGATCAACAAGAATCGCTGAATCAAACCAAGTACCAAGTGCGACTCCTGTATGGCGAAAGTAAAGTACACATTTCTTTACAGGCGTTGCAGGCAGGAAGAAAAAGCTAAAGAGTAAAAACGTTAAAAGCTAAAACTGGAACAGACCATTATAGTTGTTCACTCTAACTCTGCGAGCAATGATGACAGGATAGCTGTGAAGTTTAGATAATATTTCCTGTCCTTCATTATCCAGAAAACTATCCCATAGAGACAGGAGCACCGTCTGTGATCTGTGCTCGTGATAAGAGTTAACAGTTACAAACTGAAAAAAATGGTTGTAGAGAAAAAGAAATAAAGGTAGTGGGAAGTTTTGCATAAACTGAGAATTGAAGCTCTCGCTGTTCATTAAGAAGGACAAATTTCTGAACATCTGATTGCTTTGAGTTTTTGGTAACAGTTTTCTTCTCAAGCGCACTAATCACAACTCCCAGCACGTCTATGAACAATACAGAGAATGGGATTATGAAAACTTTGGCCAGAACGTAAACATATTAAGAGCAAAGCATTGAAAGGCTTACCGACTGATTTAGTTCTGTCATCCATGTATTGAACTAAGTCAGTAAACTTTGAATAGCAGAATTTTACAGGCATGACTTCATCATCATCAGCAATTTCATCAATGACAGTCTTGGTGCTGATAACCCATTGAACGGTGAGCTCAGATGTCTGGAACTTTGGTGGTATGGTTCTGACCTCAGCATTGGATATTTTATATTTTTTATAGACCTGCAAAATGCTGCTCATTCTAGGAATGTCATCATTGAAGATGATTCCTTCGACTCTTGATCCCTACGTAAAGAGGTGAAGTTAATGCTGCATAAAGAAATCAAAACAATAGCTGACTTAAATGCTAGAATCTAAACTTGAGCAGTGGCTTCAACTAACCTCTGAATCGTAGAAAACAAATTTCTGCTTTCTTGTTGGCGTTCCCATTGAGCTTGTGATCTGTTGCTTTTCCTGAACAGTGACGATGCAGCTCCAATTTTTCATGTGAGGTATGATATCTCGCATTGGCAGCAAGTTAGCCATCCTACAAAAACACAAGTCGATGGATATATGAACAGGAACTAAAAGATAAAAAAAACACAGTAAACCATATTTGAAAAATATGTATGACGAGCTTACTTTAGGATAAGTCAAGCAGAAAATTGCTTAGGCTTGAGCTAATCTAAAAATTTCATCAAAGACAACATTTCGAGTTTTGCAATCTACTTTTGTGTCATCAAATGTTCCAGGAACAAGAAGAACTTTAACTTTGGCAGCGGTTTTAGCTCTGGACAGAGCAACATACAGCTGGCCATGAGAAAAAACTGGTTCCCGTAGATAGATGCCGACGTAGTCAAGAGTTTGGCCCTGCGATTTATTGATAGTTAAAGCGAAGCAAAGGCGGACAGGAAATTGTGTTCTTATGAATGGAATCCCATTCTTGTCATTGTCGGGCGTTTGAAGAGGTATCCTTGGAACGAAAACTCTTTTTCCTCGATGATGGCCAAAAACAATTTCAGCAGAAATTGTGTGCTGGCCAAGTTCCCTACATATTAACCTTGTGCCATTGCAAAGGCCTTCAGCTGGATTTAGATTTCTTAGAAGCATCAGTGGACAGTTTTCCTTCAACAGCAACTTATGAGGAGGAAGACCTTTAGGATTTTGAGAATTGAGGAAGTCTTCGTAGTCATCTTGGTGCCGCTGATCAACAGTCTTGTCGGAGCTAATATAAGTGTGAAGGCTTCCAGGAAATCTCCTAATCATTATTTCATTGAGTTCATCAACTGAGCTATTTTTAGGCGCAAGGATGCACCTATTTATTAGGTTATAAGGATCTTGCGAATAGGTGTTCAAATCTGGAAAGACACTTTCTAGTAACCTGCGTAAAAGAAGCTGCATTGATAATGGGAAGCAGGAGGAATAGTTGCTAAACAAAAACTAAATTTGATTGTATGTACCCATCTAACCTGTCTAAGGATTTCTCTTTATCGTAATAAGGAATAACTATATCTGATGATAAAGTTATTTCGCCCTCATCATCAATAGGTTCTCTTCCTTCTCCTACTCTTAGAAGGAATCGTGAAAATTCAGGATCAAACATAGCTCGCATATTTTGTACGAGTCGGATTTTATGCAGTTTAGGCCACAGAGGAGACATGGGAAAGGTCGACTGGACGAGAACTTGTTTAGTTGCTTGTTCAATCACAGGAAGAGTCTGTCGAAAATCTCCTCCAAAAACTATTACCTTTCCTCCAAAAGGTAAATCTGAGTCCATTAAATCCTTCAGCAATTCGTCGAAGGCTTCAATTGTGTCCCGTTTAGCCATTGAAGCCTCATCCCACAAAATAAGCTTAGATTCTGAAATGAGTTTTGCAGCAGAACTTTGTTTACTAAGCTGGCAACTCTTACCTTTCTGGAAATCAAGTGGTATCTTGAATCTTGAGTGAGCTGTCCTTCCACCAGGAAGGATTGATGCTGCAATTCCAGATGTTGCCACTGCAATTGCAATATGGTTCTGTGATCGTAAGGTCGCGAGAAGCGACCGATACAGGAACGTTTTACCGGTGCCGCCGGGGCCATCAACAAAAAAAGCCTGGCCTTCTAAGGAAAAACATGCTGCTAGGATTAGATCATAGGCATGTTTCTGCTCAGGATTTAGCATCTGAGGCAAAAGCAGATCCTCAGGTGTCACTGCTAAGCTTTTCTCACTTTCAATCTCCTTTGTTAATCGTTCAGTATAATTGCATGTAAAATCGTCAGAGACAAAGTGAAAATCAGTAATGTTTTTCCCCATTTGTTCAAGTGAACTGTTAATAGCTTGCAAAACTTTCTGTCTAATTTCAGCTGAAGAAAAGCCATGGAGTGGTTGCTGGTGATGATAGTCAGCAGAAAGGTCATGTTCAAATTTTTCCCAAAGCGATTTAGGATTTGTTGGAGAACAGTACACAAGGAGAGTGGCAAACAACAGCCTCAATGAAGATGGCATTTCGCTTCCTGAAGTGTCTCCTCTATATAAGCATCGGATTGTAGAAGGCCAAGAGCTAAAGCAGCTTCTCTAAAAGAACCTAATTTCTGTGCATTAACAGTCAAAAGGTCTTCAAAAGAGGTCGGGCCAGCAATGTGCGTTAATAGCAACCGCAAATAATATCTTTCTCCTTCCTTTGGACTAACAGTGACCATGCGACCAATCACCTTTCGACGCTTTCTTTCAGTCCACTCTTTATATTTACCAGACCAAACAAAATGCTCAGGAAAATTTCTGTACAAGCATTTCAGATTCTGTGCTCTAGGATTGGTTTTGTTCATGCGAAAAAACTGAGTTAACATAGTCTTTGAAAAGTCAATTTTACTCAGCAATTGCAGCAAGTCAGAGTTCTTGTCAAAGGAAATGAATTGCTGATCTGGAAGGTGAATCTGAAGGGTGTAAACTGCAGGGGTCATTTCGCTCAGCTTAAATTCATAAATGCGCCAAAAAGCTTCTGGAGGTGAAACCCATCTACCTTTCTGGAAGTCTTTTATTTCATCAATAGCATCCGCTGATGCACAGGAAATAATCTTAAAGCTCACTTGATCGTGTCCTTTGAAAACATACTTATACAAGTACTTCACGAGCTTAAGAGTAGAACAAATTTCGACATTGATGTGGCAATCAAATAAAGCAAGCAGGTAAGGGTTGTAAGGCACAACCCACCTATTATCAAGAGTAAATCTACGAACCTTCACTCTTTTGCCATCATCTCTTCTCCTATAACACGGATAGGTATCCTCACCATGAGTTGTCTGAGAACAAAAGCTCTTTGGATAGCGATTTTTGCAGGTCCCATCTCTCATACAAGGACAAGATGTATCCATGGCTCCGCAAGGACCATGGATCATATGTTTCACAACAAGAGAATACAAGTGAGGATATCTATCTTTGTCGGGCAACTCAGCACAAACAACTTTGTCGTATGACTCTGGATTAAGCAGCTTATGACCAGGTTTTAAGATCAATAATAAATGGGCATGAGGAAAGCCGCGTTTCTGAAACTCAATCACGTAAACACATGCTGAAACCTCGCCGAAGATCTGCTTATTCAGAATTTCTGCTTTAAGCATTTCAAACTTGGCTCTAAAAACTCTAGCGAGAAGGTCTGGCCGATCCTGAGGTTTTTCATGGTATTTCAAATTTTCCTGAATTTCTTTCCATGCTGGATTACACGTCATTGTAAGAAAAATGTCTGGTTTTCCATATTTCTGTACGAGTGCCATCGCATCTAGGTAACGACGCCTCATATCCCTCGGACCACCTATAAAGGAAGCTGGAAGAATGACCTTACGACCAACCTTAGAAGCAGCAGTGTGGCCAACAGAAACACTGTCAAGAACCCCTTGCAGAATTTCGGAACGTATATTGTTTTGCCGATGCCTATGAAAGTCAAGCCTACATGTTTCAATCTTGACATAAGCATCAACTGAAAACTGCTGTAGCAGCCTAAGAGTGTGTAACAGCATTGACTCATCATCGTCCCTTATTTGGAACCTATAACAGTAGTACTCCCTAGCAGATACAGTACTTTCCTCTGTTTTTCCTTGGTCAGCAGCTATAAAGAAGGGAAAAGATGCTGTACATGGTTAAATAATGTAACGCAATGGGCAGGTTCAGCAGTTTATAAGAAGAGAGAAATGTGCTCGCCTCTTTGTTCTAAATCGATTAACTCCGATGAGGAGTTAACTGAAGTTGGATCAATGTTAATATCATTCTCACAAGCGTCCCCTCCTCTTTTCCTCTTGCAAAGCCTTTTAATCCCATGGTGCCAGCCACACTCACCACGAGGGAAAAGGAGAGGGTACTGTAAAGGGTCGTAACAGCCATAGTAATGTTGAATCCTATGGCTACCAGCCGAGCGAGAATAAACCTGAATATGAGCGCGCCTATCGGACGACTGATCTTCACTTTCAGTCCATATAGCTGCTACTTGCGAGGCTGAGGGAAGGTTATATACTCGCTGGTCAAGTGAAGGATAACAATTAAGGATAATGTTCAGGTTGTCAAGGTGTGGAACATCCCTAAGGCCTTTAAAGAACCGAGCATAAGGATTGTCAGAAAGTACGCGCATAAGCAGTCTTAAAGTGCTTTCGCGTAGTTTATCTGAGTTACCAAGCCTCTTTGTTAATTCCTCAGCAGTGTCAAAAAAATATAATTGGATTCCAGATGGTCGATCACCTAAGTGAACGAGACCATCAAGAAAGTGGTAAACCTGACCTTGAACACGGAAGGTATAGACACCTTTTGTGTTTTTTGTTAATTCAGAGTCATACTTTGCAGCAAAAGATGTGAAGCCAAGGTTGTTGTTATAAGTGCGAACAATGGTTCTAAAGTGAGCACTCTCTTCATCGTTGCCAATGAATAAGCGTTTCAAATCGTAAGGCATTGGAGGAGCAACGATAGAGATCTCTCCTCCTGAGCAGCAAAAGGAAGGAGGTTCCAAATGGAACCTTTTCGCTCCACAATGCTGACAATCAGGAACACGAGGCAGAACCAGAGATGCATTGGGAATATTGGCAAGACGAGACATGGTTGAATGTGCACGAGCTTGTTTTTTCGCTGCAGTTTTATTGCACGCACAAACGAGTTTATTAATTATGACTGGTGAGCTGGATAAATCAGGATGGAAGGCAACAAACGGTTAAAGAGGATCAGGAGCAAATCCAAACCTGAGCTGGGGTTGTTTACAGATGCAGGGGCGGTGCGTTTTTTGTAACGGGAGCGAACAATAGATGGATCAGAAGAAGGAGCTACTTTTCTGGTTTTTTTCTTCAAGTGACCAGATGTTGGCTCACACCTGGACACCTCCTCTGTGTGAGCAGGAAAGTTGGCTGCGAATTGCACAAGCGAATAAGGTAGGCAAAAGAGTGCCAATTCCCTTAAAGGAACACCGGCAAACAAAGGAAGAAGGCTTCCGGAAGGCCAGGATATAAAGTTGGTTATTCAATATTTACAGTCTGGCCGAAACAGACCAGGAGGTTTGCAAACACAGCGTATATCGTAAGGCAAGACAGTACCTTCGCAAGGTTGTTCTAAAGGAGAATCTGGGATTCCAGCAGGGAAAGAATGACTCGCAGGAGCATTTTCTTTTGGAATCGACTGTTCAGAGTTCTTAAGAGATGAATTCAAAGGAAATAAGCCTAGCATAACTTCAGGATGTGAAAGGTTAACAGGTTGTTCATTTTCAGGCGGAAGGGAGAATACGTGCTTATGTTTCTCTCTACCTGGGTCATCACTGAGTTGTGGTCCAAAGGAGGGGATAGGATGACCAGTAAATGAACCAGGGGACTGACACGACATGAAATCTAATCCCTCTCTAATCGCAAAGTCATCATCAGCTGGAAACACAACATGTGTATTCCCCAACGGCTGAGAATGAGCAGCCGTAGGATCCTCACTACGACATGGCATATGATGAGCATTTGGGAATGACACACCAGTTTCAACATATCCTAATGGGACCCTGCGAACACGAGGAGCTGGAGCTTTTCCAGCTTTCTTGGAGGCCCGAGCCTGCCTTCGAGAGCGCAGAAGCTCTGCTTTCTTCAGAGGCGGCATTTCTGCATATTTTTTGCGGCGCACAGCATTCCTATCCATCTGATTGGTGCACACTTGAGTAGGCGAAAAGAAAGCCAAACGTACGCGTCTAATACACGACTACAGCGGTAACTAAATAAGTAAGAAGTAGGGCAAAGCTCTACCAAGATTGACGCATAAAAACAGAGGAAGAAAAGCTAAAGTGCAGCTCTCACACAGGAGAACGAAACTCAGCAGACATAAAAAAAGAAAGATAAGTGCAGTCCTTATACAGAACCATGGAATCCAGTAAGTATAATTATTTAAAAGGAAAAGAGCGAAGCAAAGTTAAAGCACAGGCCTCAGACAGGAGCATGGAACAGAGCACACAAGGAAAAGCAGATAAAAGTTCGAGCCAAGCTGGTAACATTTAAAAGTGAAGCAATAAAACCACGGGGCAAATGATTATTGGACAGGAGCAAGGTAAAAGCACATACGGAAGGGAGGATAAGTAATGTCACCTTAACCTTAAGCCTCTATCAGCCAACAGCAAAGCAAAGCAACAAAGAAGAGGACAGAACCTGCTTCAGCACCTAACAAACCAACAAGAGGAAAAAAGGGTAAGAAGATACAATTCCAAAGAGTAAAATGCGGTAGAACAAGCATTTCTTGCAGGCAATTCTGAAAGCTCTTAATAAGTTGGGTGGCAGGTTTATTTTTTGCAAGCATTTTTTAAGGGGGGGGAAGATAACCTCTTAATAAGTATCTCTGAAACAGTTATCCTTACAAGCATTCCTCACAAAATAGTTCCCTCCTGTAAGAGAGGGAGGGGTACACTCCAGAATGGTGTCTGAAAATATATAGGGTATAATATAAGGAATGCTTACTAAGAACTCCAAAAAAGGTAGAAGGCGGGGAAGGATAATTTGTAGGCAGTAAGAGTAGTAGGACAAAATGTGAAGAAAGCACAGCAATGCAAGAATTGTTCATAGGGGGGACACGGGAAAAGCAGGGGAAAAGGATCCGGCAAGGAAAATAACAAATTTAAATAGGATAAATGAGGGAAAAGGGAAGAAGCAAAATGAGATGAAAAGCAAACCAAAAAGGCAATTAAACAGTAACAACTGAAGAGAGAATAAAATTTAGCCGCTAAAAAAAACAAATAACCACAACAGTGCACACAACGGTCTCAGAAGGAGCTAAAATCAAACAATAACAACAGAATTAAACCTTATGCAAGAAGGCAGCAAGACAGTAGCTCTCAGAAAGGCTGGGAAAAGTGGGGGAAAGAAAGAAGACAATAGTTGAGAATGAAGAAGCAAGCAGCTGAAGGGCAAGGAAAAGGGAGCAATGGAAATGAGGCACAATTACCACGGTGCATGATGACGAAAGCTGGAAAAGGCGAAATTTGGAGGTTAGAAACCCCTGCATACATCGGACTAACAAAGAGCTTCCAGTCTTGTCAATCATCATCATCATCATCAAAGAAGAAAAGAGGGAAATGTGCTTTTTCGGCAGCCCTATAGAGCAGAGCTGTAGTTTCTTTTCTCACCAAAGCGCAAAGAGAAGGAAGAAACTTAGTCAGATGCAACGGTGAATCTGATTTTAAAAGAAGGGCAGTATCGTCAAAGCACACCAACCACATTGAGCCCATCACCAAACAGCTATCATCATCAATCAAACCATCACCAGCCGCCAATCTCACTAAGCTGGCAACGTTTATCGTCAAAACCGGAGGTCCTTCTGCTTCTCTCTCGGACAAAAGCAAGACAAGAAGAATTGCACTTCCCAGCAAGAGCACACAAGCCCCACGCGATTGACGGCCAAATCTCAGCCAAAAAACTGAAGGTCCTTCTTCTTCTCTCTCGGACAAACAAAAGCAAGAGAAGAAGAATTACATTTCCCAAGATGACTCAGCTGGCAATCTGCCGACCAGAGAAAAGAAAAGAAAAAAAAGAAATGATGGCCATGCTACAGAGAAATGTTTCTTCTTAAAAACCGAAGGTCCAGCTTTCTTCTCGTCGGACAACAGCAAGAATGGCACTTCTCCTTCCAGCGAAAGCACGCGAGTTCCACGTGATTGACGACCAAATTTCAGCCAATAAAAACGAGCCACGTCAGCACAAAACCACCACACTTGACAACCTCATTCGCGCTTTTACTATATAGGTAGACAAGATGACTCAGCTGGCAATCTGCCGACCAGAGAAAAGAAAAGAAAAAAAAGAAATGATGGCCATGCTACAGAGAAATGTTTCTTCTTAAAAACCGAAGGTCCAGCTTTCTTCTCGTCGGACAACAGCAAGAATGGCACTTCTCCTTCCAGCGAAAGCACGCGAGTTCCACGTGATTGACGACCAAATTTCAGCCAATAAAAACGAGCCACGTCAGCACAAAACCACCACACTTGACAACCTCATTCGCGCTTTTACTATATAGGTAGATAAACGGAAGATCCTTTTCACATGACAACTTGCAGTATTTATTGGGTGGTAGTGACTGATTTGTACCACTAATCATTCTTTAATTCACTTTTTAATTATTCTTCCAAAAAGATAAGTTATCACATTAAGATGGGTCACTGACTCCACCAACTGCAATGACTTCTTTGAGTTTGTTGTAAATTAACGCGTAATAGGTACGCGCAACTGTGCAAGAAAATGATTGTCATCCAAAACTACCTTTTGCCCCTTCGTATTTCACATCGAAAATATATAGAACTAGTTTTGTACCCGTTCGTCGAATGGGAATCGTCGAAAAATAACAAACTTTAGTCAATTTATAAAAATGTCAATATAAAATACATATTTAATGTATAATCTATTATAATTTGTCTTAAGTATATTACCATGTGCGCATTGTAATGTAAAGTATTCTTATAATATAAATTTGAACATCTAATTCAGTGAATAATGATTCAAAAATAGAAAAAATAACATTCAAAAACTTGAAAATAAATAAAAAGTGCAGTAAATAGTATCAAATAATATTCTACTATTCAAAACTTTTTTTTTGTTTTTTTCTGTTTGAACATTCTCCTCGATTTGTCCGTGCAAATCAGCATTTATTGATTTTCTATTATCACTGCATGATAGCAAAGTAGGATAACTAAATATAAAAAAAATAAATGATTTATCCCATTCAAGTTTGTGTATAACAATACGTAAAGATTATAATTAAATAAATGGCCAGAGTCTTTTAATTAACTAATGAATTTGCAGATATATCTAATAGAGATATTTATGTTTCTTGTATTTATATCGCATTACTTTCCAGTGCCTTTTGTTTTTGGTTGTTTTTCCTGAAAACAAATTAACAAACATCGTAGTATATGATCACAAAAATCAATTAACAAACATGTTAGAAAAAATTCTACAAAAATAACGATGAAAGTACTTGTTTAAATCCTATGTCTTCATACAAATCAAATAGAAAATAAAACAAAAAAAATTCAAGATATGTTACTAAGCTCTTACAATTGAAGATCAACATGCCTTTTTAAAAAATATATATATATATATTGAAAAAAGATGTACCTGATAATCAAGAGGAGTGAAAACCCAAAATCGATACTTTAATATGCCAACCGCTTGCACTGGAAATACCTAACCATGAATTGGATACTTGAATCAATATATTAGAGGCTATATGTAGTATAGACATAGAAAATAAGAATTGATAAGAATACAAAGAGATATTGATAAGAACATTAAAAGTATGTTTATCTTAATTTAAGTTGCTTAAAGTACGTAACTTTGGGTAGGAAATAAGAATCTTATAATATTAAGAATTCTTATAAGAAATAAAACCATAATCGTCCAAATAACTTTGGGTAGGAAATAAGACCTTATGTGACTCGTACTATGCACGTATATAAACCTGTACGTAATAAATTTACAAATGCGTTATCAAGATAGATTTTATCGACCTTAAAAGACCACCTCCACTATATCGAGTCCTTTAAGTGCATGGACTCCTATGATGTGCGTCCACACACGAAATACTCCCCACCATCTGGGCAAAGATGTATTGTGATTAAGGAATTATTAGCAGAAATATATTAAAAAAAAAGACGGGCGGAGCACACGACGGACGAAGGGTCGGGTAGGGGCTTTTGGGGTGCAAAACTTCAATAAATATCTAATGTTTTATCTCATTTTTCTTTAGCTATGATAATGGGATTTTATTTCTTTGGTTGATGACACTCCATTTCTTTGTATGGACTTTTTCAGAATTTTTCAATCAGATGAAGTGCCATTTCTCTTTGTACATCAATTATGCATGGGGATTGTGAGTCTTGTAAAACTTTCTCGGGCTAACTTTCTTTAATTTCCATGTCTAGATTGTATGTATGTTGTTCTATATATGGGTAAATTATCTTAAAATAAAAAGGATCTATGATGAAGCTGTTAAAAAAAAAATAGGACACTATAAAAAAATATATTATCATTTATTCCTATATATCTAATAGAGGAGATTTATGTCTCTTTTATTTATATCGCATTACTTTTTAGTTCCTTTTTTGGGTAAGAAATAAGAATCATATAATATTAAGAATTTTTATAGAAAATAAGAATTGATATATATCCAAACAAAAAAGGAGTAAGCCACGTAGGAAACTACTTGCCGTCTCGTTAAGTCACGTAGGAAAGAAAAAATATGAAGGGATAAGTATGAGGATACGACTTTATTTTATATATATATATATATATATATATATATATATATATATATATCTGATTTGGATTTAGAAAGAAGGAATTGCATTTTTTGTTTTTTTTGGAGTTCATCGGCAGAGGAACAGAAGCAGAAGAGAGGGGCAACCACCCTCCAGAACTCCATTTACCTCTCTTCTGGTGGTTGTCCTCCGCCTCAGTCTTAAACTAATTAGATTTTGGTCCTCAACAATTAGGATGTGGGTAAAATGGTTTTTTTGTTTCAAGGAAGAAAATTTAGTCCTTGATATTTAGAAAATTAATCAATTTGGTCCTATTAAATTTCAGGCAAATTATATTGAGTCTACGATCTTTACTATTTTTAACTAATATCAGGCCGGTTTTAAAAGAATGTGGGCGATACGA